GCTCCTGATATACATACAAGCTTTCTAATTACAATTCGACGAGAAACTGTATCGCGATGCTTACACACGAGTCGACGGATCCACTATCTGGAAAAGGCCTGAACCCCATTTTATCCCCTTTGACCTGAGCTCGCATCGGTCTTCTTCTCCGTGATACACAGACCGGGTCATAAAAGTCTTGGTCTCAAAGTGGATGGGAGTCGAGGAACAAAAATGAGAAAGTAAGTACACGGCAAAGTAAATGGAAGGGAACAGTGTGCAGTGAATGGAGGGGGGAGGAGGCACGATAAAAGTAAATAAAGCCGATAGTGTCCACGTTCTGTTGAGAATGTCGAGACCTGGCCGGTGGAACTGGCTAGGCCATGTTTTATTAGAAACCGTTCCCCTGTCTCTCGAAACGCCACTGTTACGCTTTTTCTTCGTCTCTCTTACCCCGTTCGTTCCTCTCCGAGGCACTCTCCTCTCGCTTATCTTTAAACCGAACGATCCTGTGCCACCGTTATATCCAATCAATTTCGATCCCGCGTCGATTTTACGATATGATCCACTCGGTACAACGACCGCGTAAATTTGGAGAAAATAGTCGGCGATTCGCGCGTTTATTTAATTTGTTGTGCATCATCGATGAGCAGCTCTACGAGGTTGTTCACTTTTCTTGACGAACATTGTCTCCACCGTCGAGGGAAACGCTCGACAATTTGAACGTCTACCGACTCTGGCTTTTTTCTCGAGCGTGTCGTTGAAACGAGATTTCTTTCAGAGTAATAATATATTTAACTACAAAAATATTTACGAACAAAGAACAATTCAAGTATATAGTACCTGCTTTGCACGTCCGCCGGGAAAGATTTGAAATTAATGAATTTTTTTCCGAATGCAAAAATCAGGATTCCAACTTGTATTTGCGTGTGAATATATAGCTTTCGTAAACAAACACTCAGGAAAATATATTAACATTTACTTGGGGAGACTTATAAAGAATATGGTTTTTAGATTATATTGTTTAAACGAATGATTTTTTTGCAAAATGATACGCGCCATTGAATTCATCGTTGAAAAGCAATAATTCCATCAATTTACACAAAAACTGTATTTGCAATAATTTTTGAGATATTTGTTTCGCATCCTCAACTTTGAGGGTAGTTTCCACTCTTTTAACATCTTTGATTGCCAATTTAAAAAAAATCAAATATTTTTTCGAAAACTACATTTATGTTAAATTTCATCGAAGTCGATGATGCCTGTTATATTCTGATCGGTAGAGTAGCATGAGAAAGATCAACATATTGTTACTGACAATGGTCATGCTGACGTTGTTATTATATACATGAATAATAAATTAGCTTTATTTCAGTTGCACAAGTAATGAACACAATAGTGATATTTTTCAACATTGTTAAACAAAGTTAAACTTTCATATTGCAAGATTACGTTCTTTCAAGGTGCTATGAATGTATTAACACGTTAAAGTTATTGGATTAATGCGTAAGTTTGTAATAAGTTTAGCTGTTTGAGAATCGTAGAAACTACACTATCATAAAATATAGTGTAACGTTTCAGTTTCATGATTGCATTTATGTCTGAAGTTGCTAATCACGTCGACGGGAAAGAGGGAGGCTGATAAATTATGACAGTTGCCCCTGAGAGGCTAGATTTGTTGCGAACATGAATGCTAGATTGAGACTTTTCTGAGAGAACTATACAGTTTATCTTGCAATACAAAAGTGCCCGAAATTTGTTTTACCTTCATGCAAGTAGATCTTATGTGAAATTTAACTTTTGTTTTGAATAGCTGAAATCTATGAAAAAGTGAAACATACTTCTGTTTATATTGAGAATCTTTTAGAATGATTGAAATAAGATGAATATCATGGATAAAAGGAATTTCGTTTATTCATAAAAGAAAAAGATTAATTGTATCTACATATGTGTTTATTTTAGTTTAAAATTTGGGAAATTGTTATTAATTGTTACAAATAATTCGTCCAGTATTTTTGTAATAGTATACAGCATAGGCAGCAGCATATAAAATAAAATTTGAAAAATACGATTATATAAATGTGTACATAACTCTCAATTTGCACGATGTTATTGAAAGTTACAAAATAAAAAATCCGCTTTCATTTGCGGACACTTTTATCGTGTCATAATATGATATTTTATGAAAATTAAATATTCTGTCCCATAGGAACTCATGTAAATCTCGCGTGACAATCAATCTGTAAATTTCAGTAGATTTTATTAATAACTTTTGTTTCTATAAATAAATATTTTCAAACGATTAAAATAGAATGAATGTCATCGACAGAAAATTCTAAATAATACAAATAATTCGATAATACTGTAGTATAATCATCAACAGAATGTATTCGAATACTCTTTTCTTGGATAAAAAATAAATCTTTCCGTACACAGCTCTAGAGAAGTAAATTTTATTACTTTTCAATATTTTATTTGCCAATAAGAAATATTGTAGTAGCAAGTGAATGAAAAACAGTATTCATTATCCATATAGTTTAAACTATTATTTCTTTTCGGAGAAAATTATTATTTCCATCGAAGACCTAACGTGCTCCAAATTTTTAATTTACAATGCCAATTTTGCCTATTGAAACGAGCGCCTTGCCACCCCGATCGCAGTAAAATTTTATATTTCGAGGGAACTTCCAAGTCTCATATCCCCGCGAGATTGGAACCACGCGCGGGAAAGAATTCTACTTTCAGAAAGTCGGACGATCGTTGTCCGACGCTGTCTTCCACATGGTCCAATTCAATGGCAGGCGACTCTCTCTCGTTAGGAAACGACCCGCTACTGCAATCTATCCAGGAATGTTTACATGTTCAGCAACGTGTTTCGGGCGAAACAATGATGAGTCAAACTCGGACAACACCAGCAACTCAATCGGATCGTGTTACCGGAGCCATTAGTTGAACCAGCGGAACTTTGCCAGTCACTAATCACGCCATTGTCCGTTGCATTTCACTCTGACAAACCTACGCGTTGCTGGCGCGAGAGGAAAAAAAGAAAAAAAAAGGAAAGAAAGAAAACCAACGAGGAATTCGATGTAAAAACAACAACGATACGATTGTTTCGTCGATCGATCGACTACTGGGAGCGAACGAGGAATTTTCTGCGAGGAATCTTAACGTTTTTGACGGTCACTAAATGTATACTCGTCTTGTCTACTATTTTCTTCGTCTTTATCTATTTATGTTTCTAACGACTCTGTTGGCAGGTTCACGCCAATTTTATACGCGTTGAATATAAATATTTATAAAAAGTTTTTTATATAATGTTATGTTACTGAAACAAAGTGCAAAGTGGGAAGTCATTTCTCATTTTGTGATCTTAGTTATTTATGATATTCATCAGAAATTACGTAAAAGATATTGATTTGTATTGAAATATACAATTTGGGGGAGGGGGGTTAATCAAGTTTTCGAAAACACGAACGTGAAGATATCTACAGTGCATTTATTGGCGTGAAATATATTTTATACCAACAACGAGTATCTATCGCTGCATCGAAATAATAGTGCGAGTAACTGGAACGGTTAACGTATGGAAAACGATAATGTCTGACGATCAAGTCACAAGAGAGAGAAAGGTGAACGATGCAACAACGGCAAGT